CCTACTGTACTTTCACATAGTACACTTGTCACAGACCGTAGTATCAAGTCAACAGAACCAGTAACATACAGTAGTATCGAGTAGTGTCATTCATGGCCAGTGTTTTCATTGATACTTTCCCGTGTATTGCAGCACCTATACCACAGCCTACTGTAGTTTCACATAGTACACTTGTCACAGACCGTGGTATCAAGTCAACAGTACCAGTAACATACAGTAGTATCGAGTAGTGTCATTCATGGCCAGCGTTCTCATTGATACTTTCCCGTGTATTGCAGCACCTACACCACAGCCTACTGTACTTTCACATAGTACACTTGTCACAGACCGTGGTATCAAGTCAACATTACCAGTAACATACAGTAGTATCGAGCAGTTCCATTCATGGCCTGTGTCCTCATTGATACTTTCCCGTGTATTGCGGCACCTACACCACAGCCTACTGTACTTTCACATAGTACACATGTCACAGTCCGTGATATCAAGTCAACAGTACCAGTAACATACAGTAGTATCGAGCAGTTCCATTCATGGCCTGTGTCCTCATTGATACTTTCCCGTGTATTGCAGCACCTACACCACAGCCTACTGTACTTTCACATAGTACACTTGTCACAGTCCGTGATATCAAGTCAACAGAACCAGTAACACACAGTAGTATCGAGTAGTGTCATTCATGGCCTGTGTCCTCATTGATACTTTCCCGTGTATTGCGGCACCTACACCACAGCCTACTGTACTTTCACATAGTACACTTGTCACAGTCCGTGATATCAAGTCAACAGAACCAGTAACACACAGTAGTATCGAGTAGTGTCATTCATGGCCAGTGTTCTCATTGATACTTTCCCGTGTATTGCAGCACCTATACCACAGCCTACTGTAGTTTCACATAGTACACTTGTCACAGACCGTGGTATCAAGTCAACAGTACCAGTAACATACAGTAGTATCGAGTAGTGTCATTCATGGCCTGTGTCCTTATTGATACTTTCCCGTGTATTGCAGCACCTATACCACAGCCTACTGTAGTTTCACATAGTACACTTGTCACAGACCGTGGTATCAAGTCAACAGTACCAGTAACATACAGTAGTATCGAGTAGTGTCATTCATGGCCAGTGTTTTCATTGATACTTTCCCGTGTATTGCAGCACCTATACCACAGCCTACTGTAGTTTCACATAGTACACTTGTCACAGACCGTGGTATCAAGTCAACAGAACCAGTAACATACAGTAGTATCGAGTAGTGTCATTCATGGCCAGTGTTTTCATTGATACTTTCCCGTGTATTGCAGCACCTATACCACAGCCTACTGTAGTTTCACATAGTACACTTGTCACAGACCGTGGTATCAAGTCAACAGAACCAGTAACATACAGTAGTATCGAGTAGTGTCATTCATGGCCAGTGTTTTCATTGATACTTTCCCGTGTATTGCAGCACCTATACCACAGCCTACTGTAGTTTCACATAGTACACTTGTCACAGACCGTGGTATCAAGTCAACAGTACCAGTAACATACAGTAGTATCGAGTAGTGTCATTCATGGCCTGTGTCCTCATTGATACTTTCCCGTGTATTGCAGCACCTATACCACAGCCTACTGTACTTTCACATAGTACACTTGTCACAGACCGTGGTATTAAGTCAACAGAACCAGTAACATACAGTAGTATCGAGTAGTTCCATTCATGGCCTGTGTTCCATTGATACTTTCCCGTGTATTGCAGCACCTACACCACAGCCTACTGTACTTTCACATAGTACACTTGTCACAGACCGTGGTATCAAGTCAACAGAACCAGTAACATACAGTAGTATCGAGTAGTTCCATTCATGGCCTGTGTCCTCATTGATACTTTCCCGTGTATTGCAGCACCTACACCACAGCCTACTGTAGTTTCACATAGTATACTTGTCCTTGTCACAGTCCGTGATATCAAGTCGAACCAGTAACATACAGTAGTATCGAGCAGTTCCATTCATGGCCTGTGTCCTCATTGATATTTTCCCGTGTATTGCGGCACCTACACCAAAGCCTACTGTACCTTCACACAGTACACTTGTCACAGTCCGTGATATCAAGTCGAACCAGTAACATACAGTATCGAGTAGTGTCATTCATGGCCTGTGTTCTCATTGATACTTTCCCGTGTATTGCGGCACCTACACCACAGCCTACTGTAGTTTCACACAGTATACTTGTCCTTGTCACAGTCCGTGATATCAAGTCGAACCAGTAACATACAGTATCGAGTAGTGTCATTCATGGCCTGTGTTCTCATTGATACTTTCCCGTGTATTGCGGCACCTACACCACAGCCTACTGTAGTTTCACACAGTATACTTGTCCTTGTCACAGTCTGTGATATCAAGTCGAACCAGTAACATACAGTAGTATCGAGCAGTTCCATTCATGGCCTGTGTCCTCATTGATATTTTCCCGTGTATTGCGGCACCTACACCAAAGCCTACTGTACCTTCACACAGTACACTTGTCACAGTCCGTGGTATCAAGTCAACAGAACCAGTAACATACAGTAGTATCGAGTAGTTCCATTCATGGCCTGTGTCCTCATTGATATTTTCCCGTGTATTGCGGCACCTACACCAAAGCCTACTGTACCTTCACACAGTACACTTGTCACAGTCCGTGGTATCAAGTCAACAGAACCAGTAACATACAGTAGTATCGAGCAGTTCCATTCATGGCCTGTGTCCTCATTGATATTTTCCCGTGTATTGCGGCACCTACACCAAAGCCTACTGTACCTTCACACAGTACACTTGTCACAGTCCGTGGTAGGGCCTATCAAGTCAACAGTACCAGTAACATACAGTAGTATCGAGTAGTGCCATTCATGGCCTGTGTCCTCATTGATACTTTCCCGTGTATTGCGGCACCTACACCACAGCCTACTGTAGTTTCACATAGTACACTTGTCACAGTCCGTGGTATCAAGTCAACAGTACCAGTAACATACTGTAGTATCGAGTAGTTCCATTCATGGCCTGTGTCCTCATTGATACTTTCCCGTGTATTGCGGCACCTACACCACAGCCTGCTGAACTTTCACTTCGAATTCCTGTTACATATATTCTAAAGTCCATTCATTTTCTATATTTCTATTTGATTCTATCTACCAACTGTTGAAACAAGACATCTTTATTCAATTTACGACTTTTCCTCAACAGTTTTGTAAACTATAGAGATAAAAGCTGAAATTAACATTGCATTTACAGTACAGTACTGTACAGAGGTCCAAACTCCTTGTATATAGCAGAACAAGGATGTGAGCTGGTTCACAAATCATCCCCATGACGTCACAACAATGTAGGGCAGATGGGGGTGGCTGCGACACGTGGCTACCCTACTTGTCATTGATAAGAGGTTGGGGATGTTTGTGATAGTTCATCAATGAATTTATTCAAAGTAATTATTGCCAGATAGATGTTTCTAATCTCCAAATGACAGTGAACCATATCACAGCTCGCCAATGGGTTAATATTTTAACGCGGACAATTTGTATTATAATTTCCATGAAGTGCAGTTATTCCTTTCGTCATCAACAATTGTTTGAGTAAAAAATGTATTACTTGTATTAATTTATTTAAGTATTCTGTATTAAGTATACAAAACAGTGAAACAACAAACCGCCTTCTATAAACCGGAAGGAACTAACCTTAACATAATCTTAAGCTCATCTACAAAAATAATACAGTAAACCTTTGGGGAGTATGTTTATTGTATAAGTATTAATGTGCTTGAAATGTTTTTTTGGTGTTTATTCCAGTTTATTTGTGTATATCCACGCGATTGGTATTCAGCAAGGAAACGGTTTAAACCCTTGTCACTGTTTACCGTCGATCTTTAGTTATAAAACCATTAATTGTTGGCCCAATGCAAAATTTCTGGTTACATAATCCCTCTCGCTGGGAACCGGTAGAGAGGTTAGCGGAACGTGGTACTTTGATAAACTTTATTTCCAAAACACGTCAATTCAGCCAACAAACACACAATAATTGTTCCTTCCTCGATCCCCGGGGTCTTCCACCCCCGCAGATGACGTCACCACAGACATCCCCACGTGTTTGGCCTACATTCACCCCATTCATCCGTCGCCCCCGTGACGTCATCGACGCACAGCGCGTGTTCGTCCCATATACCTTCCGTCCATTCAGTCCCTGGGACTCCTCTATGACGTCAACAAGGGCACGTGTATGCCCCACCGTTCATTCATTTTGTTCAACTTCCAGCTATTCTTGGAAATTCCCTAACGGCATTTGATAAGTCGAGGAGTAAAGTGTTTTCTTAATTAAGGAATTTCCTTGGTTTCTTCTAAGAACGTGTATGTAATACAAATCAAGAACGTAGATAAATTGGTGTCGTATATGGCTTAATTAAAAATCTACTAACAATTTGATAATTTTCGTAGATGTATTTTCGAACCGTTTAAGTGTAGTAGTCTATTATAGGTTTACAACAGTCTTGCCTTAACTACGGAGTTAGCACATCATTCGCCTTTTTACCCCCGTCGGCTTCCATTCGACGTAGTCACCATGTAACAAGAAGTAGGCCTACCAAATCAGCTTAGCTGAAGTCACAAGTAACGAAGTTTGAAAAAAAAAAACTCTAGCAAGTAGTTCATTAACGAAGAATAAAACAGTGTTTTCGGTTACTTTATTACTTCATACGTCTTCCAAAAACATTTTGATGAAATGAAAATTCTTCTTTATTGAGGCGAACTTAGTCCATGGTCCTTTTCTACAGTTAACCTCTAAAACTCTGGACTCTATATTTTTGATGCAGGTCTACATAGCATTGTATAAAACACAATGACAATACCATAAACGCCAATATTGTTTCAACAAAGTTGTATCAAACAAAGTTATGACTATCAATACAACTAGAAGTCCCTTCCCCATGTTAAAGTTAATGCAAACAATGATGTGCAAAAAACACCATCACCAAAAACAAACAAAAATACCTTACCTTGCTTATCAGGAAGTCTTTTTCGTCAAAATGCCGACCAAACATTTTGGGCGCCTCGCCGGGAATTGGTTCAATTTTGATGCAAACCTCTTGACCCTTCCTGGCGCTCTCCACGGACTTGTGGTTGTTTTCTATACTTGTCACAATACCGAGTTCAACAAACTGCAACAAACAGAGAACACATTTCACGTTGCGTCAAAATGGTGTCTAATCTGTGGGTTATTTATCCATACTGGTTACCACACCAAAATGAACAAACTGAAACAGAGAACACATTTCAGATTATGCCAAAATTGCATTTAATATTTGCGAAGTTATTATTCATACAGGTCACAACACACTTGCAACAAACAAAGAACACTTTCCAGGTAACGTCAAAAGGGTGTCTAATATTTTCAAGGTAATTTTCTATACTGGTCACAATATCGAGTTTAAAAACGGAAACAAACAGGGAACAATTTTACATTGAGTCTAAATAAATCTTCTCTAGTTGTTTTATGAATTATAGTTGTCATGATTGGGGTTATGGGGTTTATAGCTGTAAAACTGCCTCGTCAACGTTGTGGGAATTGTTCTATAAATTATTCAACACGCCCAAGATTTCGTATTATGATAGAGTAAAAATTCAACGAATGAAAAGTAACCTAAGACGTTTTCCCTATACACAACAACATACTGCAATAAGCTACCCAATAAATTCTGAGTCGACCAACCTAATAAATATTTTTTGCCAAAACTACGGAATAATTACAGAAAACACAGAAATTACGTCTTAGTTAGCAATACTTAGAGGAAATCCTATCAAGAAAAGGGGAAAAGGAAGAAAAACTGTGCCTACTCAGGACATGGCCAGAAACAGATTTTTCGGGGATGAAAGCAGACAGCCTACAATATGTTCAGATTGATGTAGTTTTGTATACGATCATCGACTTTTTCCCACTGGAGAATATTTTTCGTTAGAACAATCGATAAATATATGCCTTTTTAAACAAAAAGCAGCAATTAAGCAGCAATTAATTCATAATAAATAATTGCGATTAAACTAATTGATCGGAAAATTCCCATGTAGCACAGATGGTTGGGCCAACGTTGGCCAACTGTGGGACAGTTGGTCGATGGTTGGTTGGAGCTTCCACAACCAACCAACCGTTGTCCAACTGTATATCTCGTAGTTGGGCCAACCAATATTTACAACTGTGGACCAACATTGGTTCATTGTTAATGAAATACATTAATATGCATTGCTGGGTATCATACATCAATCCAACCGTTGTCCAACCGTTTTTCACTCCGTTGGACCAACAAAAGATACTTTTGTTGGACCAACGATGGTCCATAGTTGAGTTTACACGACTTTCATTCTCTGGGTCTAGCTTTCACAACATAATTATAATAAAATATCTGGTTTTACAATACCTTTATCAGTTCCAATAGTTTCCAAAAGTTTTTGGAACTGATAAAGGTATTGTAAAACCAGATATTTTATATATTACAGTTCCGGGGCTACAACAATGAATTTTAATAATTATAATAATGCAAATATTTTTTAAATTAAATTCTTTAACTTATTTGCAACAATTTAAGGGGAAAGAGTAATTAATCATATAACAGGCAATTATAATAGCATTAATAATCTAACGGTAATTAATTAATCTATATTCAAATACCAGTATCCTCTCTAACTAAAAAAAAAAATAACTACTTATAATGCCTTAACAGATTAACAGAATCATATTATACTGTGTAGTATCAAAAATGTTTGAAGTATTGCGACCATTGCAACTGTCGGCTACTCTTTCACCACTTGAAAACTCTCTATATCAACAATCACAGATAGCTCAGTGGTAAAGTAAGAGGCTCATAAGTCGAAGGACCCGGGTTCGAGACCCGCCTGGGCCAAAAAATTTTGTTCTAGCTTTTTTTCAAAATTTGTTTTTATGAACTATTTAATCAATGTACTCAACTAATAATTATGCTTTTCGTGCTAAATCTTTATTATTTTGTGTGAAATAAAACGGTTGGACAATGGTTGGCTGGAAAACAGTTTAAAGAGGTGACATTTCTACCGTTGGCCAACTGTGTGGCTCCACAATTTACCAACGTTGGCCCAACCATCTGTGCTACATGGGTTACGTCCTAAGCAGGCTGAGAAAACAGACAACTCACACAACACCCAAAACTATAGAACATCCAGGATAGGCGATGCAACTCTAAACATTATCAGTTAGTCATATTGTATCCTATATTTCTCGAAACTAAAATAAAAATAACCCACCGATAAATTACATTTTGGAGAGAGGATCGAAACAGACTAGATGTCATTTTTAGCCCGTTATTGCCCTAACAAGCGTCGAAGTAGCATATATTCCCCGCGGAGTTCAAAGGAGACGTCTACGACTACGACCATTCCCCAACAGAATTGCCGCTTCCAGAAATATTTTTATTTACACGCAGAGGATGGGATAAATAACAGCACCAACACAGTTTACAATTAAACCAAAGTAGCCTAGAGGTAATGAGGCGTCACAGTTTCGATACTTATTTCATACAACCAAGGGACCAAGGAAACAATTTTATCACCAAGGACAAAGGGTCCGACGATTAGGACACGTCTTCCTCCCACTCAGAGTTTCGGCAGGGTGACGTCATATATTCTGAACACTTTGTCAACAGAGGGCCTTGGCAACGGAGCATCTTGTCAACTGTGCATCTTGTCAAAGTTTCTATACACTGTGATGTGACACAAGTTGTCCGTGTTTACCCCCTGTAAATTTGTTCTTACTAAACAATTATTATTTTGACAAAAAGAAGAAACGTAGGGAACAATTCTTTAGAAGAAAATATTAGAAGACGAGTTAGTGAGTTATGACACTGTATGAACTGCAGATATGTTTGAAATTTATAGACCGGCAGAGCGCAACAAAATGACGTAAAAATAACCAAGGACTTATTGTTAGATTATGGATCAACACTTGACCATAGTGAATTAAATTGAATACAAATAGGTTAAATGGTTAAATGCACATTACTCTAAGAATAAGAATAAGAATAAGAATCCTTTATTGTCATTAGACACAGTTGTGCAATAGACATTGTCAAAGAAAACTATAAACTAGAAAATGTAACAGAGTCATGAACATTATCACAGTAGACCTTATATAACATACATGTAAAACTTAGCCTATATCACAGAAGAGATCGCAGTTGTCAATTGAGAATAAATATCATAAAATAAAAATTGTTGAATAACAATGCATGTTACTTAAAATCTATAAAATCAGTAGCACTCAAATGCAAAAACTCATTAACAGAATAAAGTGGGTGCTTTAGAAGACCATTTGTTACAACAGTTTTAAAATTAGCAAAGGATTCAATATTCTTGACATGATGAGGTAGTATATTGTACAGTTTAAGCCCTATAACTTTAGAGCTTTTGGCTGCTTTGGTCAATCTACAAAAGGGAATGTCAATTTCATGCTTGAGCCTTGTGTTGTGGCTATGTACATTTAGCCGTTTCAACAAGAATACAGATTGTTTTTTTACTTCTAATAGAACATACAAAACATATAAACTAAAGACAGTTAACACTTTTTCATGAATAAAAATAGGCCTACAGTGCTCTGAGTAGTCAGCTGAAGCTAGTATTCTGACAGCTTTTTTCTGAACCAGTAAGACATCATGTACTCCAGCTGCATTTCCCCATAAACATATGCCATACAGTAAATTACTTTGAAAGAAACTATTGTAAGCAAGCTTGAGATATGACTTCGGGACATTTTTATCTAAAGATCTTAGTAAATATACAACTCTTGAAAGTTTGTTACAAATATAATCCGTATGAAATTGCCATGTCAATTTTCTATCAAGAACTAAGCCTAATAGTTTAACATTACTTAACCCTAATTGATCACAGGAGGGAGAATCACTGGCCTTGACATTTTTATTACTAAAAACTATGGTTTGAGTTTTGTCATTGTTAAGTATGAAACCATTGGTACTGAACCAGTTGGATACACTTTTAAGGGCACTTTCAGAATTCAAATTGACAGTTTTTATATCAGAACCAGCATTAAACAAAGTAGTGTCATCAGCAAAACATACAGTCTCAAATGGTACATTAACATCAATGTCATTAACCATGACAAGGAATAAAAGAGGTCCAAGAACCGAACCTTGCGGCACGCCAAAGGGTACAAGTCTCTTACATGAATACTGATTATTGACACAGACTATTTGTTCTCTATTATCTAGGTATGAGCTAAGAAGTGACAGAGTTGTATCAGTCACCTTGTAGTACTTTAACTTAGCCAGCAATGTCTCATGACAAACACAATCAAAGGCTTTACTGAGGTCACATAAGGTGACACCAGTATCGGCTCTGCTTTCAAGGTTTGCTAGGATTGCATCTACAAGATAGGTCACAGCTTGAATTGTAGATTTCCCAGTTCTGAAACCATACTGTACAGTTGAAAACAAGGAATTATCTTCAAAATAATTGTACAGCTGGTCATGTAAAATTCGTATAAAACTTTGGCAAAGACTGGAATTAAAGCTATTGGCCTATAACTAGCTGGGAGATCTCTGCACCCTTTCTTAAAAACAGGAACAACCTTAGATAACTTAAGCTTTGCAGGAAATACACCTTCAATAAGACAACTATTTATACAATAGGTTAAAGGCTCTACAATCACAGGTAAAATAGACTTTAGCACATCACTAGACAGGCCATAAATATCACGACTTTTAGAACTTTTTAGAAGCCGCACATGCCGCGCTACCTCCTCACATGACACTAACTTCCATTCCAAACCGGGTGCTGCAATGCTCTTGGTTTTGAGAAGATCCACTGCAGCCGAAGGAACGCCACCAGATTTCTCCGCCACCTCCAACACCGAGTCAATGAAGAAGTCGTTGAAGTCGTTTGGTTCCACAGAAGTATTGGGTTGATGTTTGCTCGAAGATTCTTTCCGAATGGCCGGCCAAGCTGCTCTACACTTGTTGTCGGATTTTTCAATACAGTCGGCAACAAACTGTTTTTTGGCAGTCCTCAGTTCTTGTTTGTATGTCTTTCTATATTCAGTTAGAGCTTGAAGGGATGCTGAGGTTTTAAGAACATTGTGGCGATCAAGGAGATCCATGAGGATACTTCTACTCTTCTTCAG